TCCTATCGATATTGACTTTTCACATCTGAAAATGAAGTTATGGTTTTATTATCGACAGGTAGCTTTTGACACTTTTCAGAAATCCAGTTATTGCGAATACATTTAAGTAGATGAACTGTGTCAAATAAAAGAAACCAAACACGCTGATTGTCTAAGGGATGAATTTTCCTAATAGTCAGTTATTCTGTTAAAAACTTTGCAGTATTGCTGATTAATTTTATGATTATCAGTTACAGATCCTAAAACTAGTGCATCATGTTTTTCAACTATAATAGCAGCTTCTTTCAAAACAATGAACTGATACAATGATGTTAGTTTGTGAACAGGGGTAACAGAAATCGGTAAACTAGGTCCACCATGTAAGCATTTCATCATGACACATAGCATAAAGGTTGCTTTGGATTCTGAATCATTTATTGCGATCCCATTAAATACTCCACACGAATAAGCAACTGTTATCCTAATTTGTACCTCGTCAACTATCAAAATAACATTTTTCTGTTGATTATTCTTTACGTTTTCAAATTTTTTTTGTATAACATGATCAATGTTAGTGGCAGAAATTATAGACTGAAGCTTTTGTTTACTTGGAAGGACTAAAAAATCACGAAGTTGATTGTAGTTGCAGTTATAAAAAGACTCGAATGCAAAGCAATAATCAGCTATAGAAAAACTTTTTTTAGACAAGAGTTTAAGTTGTCTTGTAATAAAATTCATTTTTTTTTTTTTTTGTTTCTTTTCATCATTTAATTAAAATTCATTTTCTGAAAAAGTATTTGTCACCTTTTCAATAACATCATTAACATGCAGACTATAATTATGAATTAAATTGATTGCTTCATAAAATTGCAAATAGAAGATTAAGCCATTGTTTGGATTCAATATATTAACTAATAGAACGGAAATTCCATGTTTATAAGCTTAAAAGGTAAGCAATGAACACAAGGTATACTTATCATAAACAATATTCGTCAAAAAACTCTCCTTGAAATCTTTTGACATAAAAATGCATATGGATTTATCGTCTTGTCGACACATTACTATATTTTTATACTTTTTATGCAACTCATTGTCAAGATAAAAATCAGAAAACGAATTTATTCTATCTTTTTTGATAATTCAATTGCATGTCCTCATGCATGTATGTTTAGATTGGCGAGGCACAGGCTTTGGCATTTGTAAACAAGAAAAAGGAACATTAAAAATACAAGGTGTACATAATGGTCGAGTATAGCCACCAGACAGCTAATCATTTATATTTATTATTTTCAAGCCAATGTTTTTACGTAAGGAAGAACAATATTTATGTAAAGGAAGAACATTAATCCATTTATGTTTCTCAACTTCATCTTTCGGTAATTTAAAAATACGACACTAATTAAGTTTATTATAATTTCCTTTACAATTTACAAAGCCACACTTTTTCACCATGATAATGGTTAAAATTTTTTTTAAATGTTACAGGAACGTTAAAAAACACTTTTACTTTGATAAAAATAATGGCCTTCCTAGCGGAGTCAGGACATCGACTATGCACGTCCTTCCGTATAGTAGTCCTTGATATATATATATATATATATATATATATATATATATATATATATATATATATATATATATATATATATATATATATATATATATATATATATTTAGATTTAATTTTCTGTTTAACAATAAATAATCAAACAAATGTATATACAAGAAAGAAAATATATGTCCGTAGAACAAAGAAGATAGTAAAATCTTGTCAACAAGCACTGTTTTTGTATATACAGTATAAAATATATATCATTCCTTTTACAATGATCTTTACAAAATAAAGAGTTAAACAGACAGAGGCTCAAAGAAGATGAAGATGACAAAACGTCAACGCAATCTTTTCATAAAGCCCCTTTATATAAACTTTCCTCAGATTATAGGTCTTAAATTAAAGTCCCTAATGGGCATAAAACTGCTGTGCTAATCAGTAAATTAAAAAAAAAAAAATTAAAAAAAAATAGAAAATGAATAAAATTCTATGATGACTACTTTAAGCAAAAAAGATTCTCAAATTATAAAAGTTTCTATTTTTATTAGAAACTTAAATGAACCTAATGAATTTGTCATACATTTAAATCTTTTTTGATAACTATTCCGTATATATTGTCCTCGATATGCAACGCTATATTTAGTATCTTTGTTAAAGTTTTGAGGCAGTTACTTATATTTGCTTTTGGATAATAGTTTTTATGTTTATTTTAAACTTGTTATTAAAGTTTGGATGAGAGATATTATTATTTCAAAAACATCCATCATTTTCATATCTTTCATTATAGGTTTAACATGTTCACGTTTATTTTTATAGTAAATGATTCTGCATGCATGTTTGAAGACTATAAATTTTTTTGAGTTTTGATGGTTGCGTACTTGCCCATGATATATTTGCATAGCTGATAAAGCAATGAATTAGTCCAAAGTAAATTAGTTTAAGACTTTGTTTATTGATATACGAGCAAACTCGATACATCATACCAATTGTATTAGTGATTTTAGATTAAAAATATCTTATTTGAGGAAGCCAGGATAACTTCTCATTAACAAGAATTCCTAAGAATATAATACTGGCTTGTTTTTTGATTAAGCTATCATTTAAAATAAGGTCAGGCAACTTAAGAGAAAGGTTTTTTACTTGTGTTTTTTGGTTGAATAATATATATTTTGTTTTTTCTGTGTTAAGTGAGAGTTTGTTAGCCCTAAACCAATAACCTACTTTATTTAGTTTAATATTCATATCTGCATATAATTTCTTGATATTACTGTTAGTAAGAAATAGACTTGTATCACCAGCAAACATGACTGAATTCAGTTTTAAAGATGCATTGCAAAAATCATTTATATAAATTAAAAACAGGTGAGGACCAAGGATAGATTTTTGGGGGACTCTACATAACCCATTTAATACTCCAGATTGTATATTACACACATATTGTTTTCTATTGGTAAGATAACTTTTAGCCTAACTGTAAGTTTTATTAATTATACCATAGTGCTTTAGTTTATCGAATAGGATTGAGTGGTCAACTGTATCAAAAGCTTTTGACAAGCCTATAAAAACTCGTAAAGTATATTTGTTTTGTTTAAAGCCATTAGTTATTTGATTAACTATTTCAATGATTGCATGCTCTGCTAAAAGGTTTTTTGAAATCCAAACTGGTTTGGGTCAAATAATTTGTTTTTAGTAAAGTAATATAAATAGTATAGATTCTGTTATAAATTACACGTTAGAAGAGTTTTGAAAATACAGAAATTATTGATATAGGTCTATAGTTGATTATATCCAAATGTTCATTACATTTAAATATAGGGATTACTTTTGCTAATTTAAGAACATCAGGGAAAATCCCAGATGTTATTGACAGCCTAGTATATGTATCAGTGGTCTGCTTAGACTAGATTTATTAAAAAATAATTAAATTACTAGTTATTTCATCAAATCCTGGTGCTTTTAAAACTGATAAAACGCTGATAAAACGCATTTTATCAGCGTTTTATCCATCCACGGATTAGCAACTACTTTTGTCTTAATCTGTATGTTCTCTTGAGGACTGGTTTTAATAAAGCAATCTAGGAATATATCTAAAAAATTATTGAAAGCTTTAAAACTTTATTTTTATTACGAATTTGTTGTAGAGTTTTTGTATAAATATAGTTAAGCTTGCTAATTTATAACAGTTTATATATAATTCTACATATTATATATATATAATTTTACTTATATCATATATTTAATATATACGCGTATGCATAATTTATATAAGTTATTTTAATTTTTTTTATATAATTTATAGTTGTTTATAAATAGTTAATTGTAGTTAATTCGCTATTCTATAGTATAGTTGCTAATTTTTTTTTAAAACGTCTTTTGTCGATTGAGATTATTAATTCGATGCTTTTTTCAAGGTCTTTTGGATTTTTTGACCATGTTAAATAATGGGTTTCTGGTTTGATGAAGGCGAAAAGTAAAATGAAATAGATGCTATTCTGTATGTAAAAGACTTACTGGTGGTTATTTTTAGCTGCCTTTTTTTTTTTTATACACCTAGAAGCATATCTGCTATACGCCATTTTATGTAAATTTTCTCGGTATTTGACATTCGTTTTCATAAAAATGTATTGCGAACTAGCATTTTATAAATATAATTAGAATAGAAATTCTTTTTTACTCTATGATGCATTGTTCTAACTGGGACAAAACGATCAATACCACAACGAAGATAAGCAGAAAAGATATTTCGATACTCTTATGTTGTGGAAACACAAGATAAGAGTATGGAAATAAAGAAAACTCGTAGTCCCATTTTACTTTTGATATATAAAAAGAAAAAACCAATCACAGCAACATTTGAAATCATAAAAAATTGAAATCATTAAAATTAAAAAAAATTGCTTATTCTTATTGGACATGTAATAATCAAAGGGTTTTTATATTAAAAAAGGCCTGAGTTATGGTCACTTTTACTAAATAGACACAACAAAGATATTACCTAAACATGGTATGAAATTTAAAAAAAACATGAACGAGTATATTACTTTCGCGGGTGGGTTTCAGAACATATTGGTGTACATATACCAGTGCCGGATCAAGGAGAGGGGGGTCGCTAAATGGTGATTGCCCCAGGCCGCGCAAATTTAGGGGCCTTAAAAAATTTTACAAGATTTTTTTTTGTTTTGAGTCATTTTATGCTCTGGCCTATAAAAAGGCCTCCAAAATAAAGATAGTTCAAGTCCCCAAGATATCTTAATCCGACACTGACATATACTATACAAATACATTATACTATACAAATACATTACAAATTGGGCTTGCTACACAGGCTAAATATTCTTGCCCCGCCAGTTTATTTATTTTTTATCTACTTAAATATATAAAAAGTAAGTATTATTAAACGGCCAAACATTTGCAAGTAAACAAACATTTAGAAGTGGCTAAAATTAAGGATAATGATTTATTCATTTAGACGCGGCTAAAATTACAATTAGTGTGCAAAAACTCTTCAAAGGTCTTTTACCAGATGACATTAAAATTGGAATCCGTAATTTTTTTGAATATCCTGGTTCTTTAACATATCCGCCTTGCTCAGATGCACATTGGTTTGTTGTGGTTAATTCTAAACATAAAGTGCCTACTAAATTTGTAAGGTTTTTTTGGATTTAGTAAAATATTTTTATGTTATTATGTTATATCGAATATATTTATAAACAACTTATATTTATATTTATTAACAACTTATATTTATAAACAACTTAATGGTATAATTGTTAAAAAAACAGTTTTAATTTTATGTTTAAATTTGTTTAAACGACTTAAAACGTTTCATTAATCATTTTTTAGTTAAAAACACTACGAAAACTTCGCTCAAGTATGGATAGTTCAAATAATCAGGATAATTTAATGTGTGATAACTTCAGACCGATTCAGAAAAACAAGGAGAAGGTTTTTTCGTAACAAAACAATAAGAATTGAATATTAAAAAAAATGTTAAATTTATTTTATCGAGTTTTTTTTTATGTATGAGTTATAACATATTATACTAAAATAAATTTAGTTAATATTAAGCTAATATGTTATTTGTATTTACATTTTAACTATAAGTTTAATCTCAAAAATGATTGTTAGGCATTTAGAAATATTAAAAATTTATTTAATTATTTTTTGGAGACTTTTGGTTTTATAACAACTTCCTTGAATTATATTATATTTATATTGGTTCGTTTTCAGCCCTCTTATTGATTTTGATTTGGAAATAGACTTTGTTTTCCAATATTTGTATTATATCGTATTAATAGATTTGATACAAGTATTGCATTTTTTTGGTGTTGAATTTATATTAATGCATTTAAGGCAATTCTACCTAAGAGAGTACTTTAATATACATACCTCTAAAAATTGTTTTGCTAACGCTAAAAAGTTTGTATTTTCGTTTTTAAATATATTTCTCTTCTAATATAAACATAATACAAATAAAAATAAAATAAATAAAGAAGTTAAAGATAAGTTATGGTATAAAAAGTAATAACAACTTTCAACAAACGGAGGATTTGTTTGTAAAGATAAGAAAATGTTTTGCTAAAGTAATTAAACCTTCGTGATACGTTCAGAAAAAAGTCACACTAAATGTTAAAAATTCTAATGATTGTCATTTCAGACATTTTTATTAGAAAACCTTATGGGACTTTTTGACTAGGATAGTTATGACATTGACAATAAACATCTTTGTGCGTAGTATTTGCTGACTTAAGATAAGCATTTTTTAATATTGACTTTTAAAATTTTAAGTATAATGTTCAGTTTACATTGTTTAATGTTGAATAATATAAACTCAAAATTTGAAAGGAGATCTAATTAATCTTCTCGCCTGTTTAAATAAAATAACAATCTGAACTTGCTGAAATAATAAATGGTTAAAAATAATGTCTTAAAAACATAAAATTATATTAAGCCCAAGTTTATGAAGGTGGTAAAGAGGCTTTAACTAATTTTAATTTGTATTTTCTCAGGCAATATCGGCAAAGTTTATATAGTTGTGAGTAGATGAGCAGTTTCTTAAGTGCAAAATTTTAAGGACTTTTGCGAACGTGACCGCTCCTCTCCCTCCCCCTAATTCTGATCTGAATCAGGGTTCTGAGTTCAAGTTCTCAGTTTTAATTGAAAATGTGTAATTATAATATGGTTTCAACACATCACAGTTTACGAGCAGTATTGACAAGACAAATAATTATTTTTTTGACCAGCAATGAGTTTTTTTTTTTTTTTTTTACCAGCCATGAATTTAATTTTAATTTTTTTTACCAGCCATAAATTTAATTTTTATATAGCACAAAATTGTAATTATGTTTAATGATAAGAAAAATATTTTTTTTACCAGCCATGAATTTAATTTTAATTTTTTTTACCAGCCATGAATTTAATTTTAATTTTTTTAACTAGCCATGAATTTAATTTTAATTTTTTTTACCTGTCATGAATTTAGTTCCAGTTTTTATTACCAGCCATGAATTTATATTTAATTTTTTTACCAGCCGTGAATTTAATTTTTATATAGCACAAAATTGTATTTATGTTTGATGATAAGAAAAAAAAATTCAAATATTTATTACATATTAATGAAAATAGTTATCACAACAAATACCGATAAAACTCTCAAATCCCGGACATGTATTGTGGTACCATATGTGGTATACATTGCATTCAACCTCTTTTCTTTTACCTTCTCTAAAGTTACTTTGCATTTTTAACAAGGACTTCTAAGTTTACTGAAGTTTTTTTCGTTAATTAACATTTTTCTTTATTGAAAGGTCGCTTCTTATATTTTTTATTTAATTTCGTCTCCAAGATTGTCCTAGTTTGCGGTCAAATTATACTTGATGAAAAATGTTGTACGTGAAAAACATCTACATTATCCAATTTTGCTAATGAAATTATGGGAGCAACCAATGGTTGCATAGCAGATAATATGGAAATGGATATTTTTTGTTGTTGTGGTTTACTTCGTTTTAACTTCTTGAGATGTTAAAATTAAGAACTTTAACTAACCTCCTCTGTTTGTTATTTTTTTTTGTGCAGCGGTTAGAGGATATGCTAAGACATCATTATCTCCATCACCTGCATTGCATCATCATCACCTGCATTGCATCATCATCACCTGCATTGCATCATCATCTCATTTGATATCAAAATCTGAAAAAAATTTCAATTTTTTTCAGATTTTGATATCAAATGAGATGATGATGCAATAAAAATAACAATTGATAATTGAAATTCTTATTAATAATCAATGATTGAATTACTTTTTAATAATTAATAATTGAAATTTTTATTAATAAATATTAGTTAATAATAAAAATTTCAATTATTAATTATTAATAAGAGTTTTAATTATTAATTATTAATAAGAATTTTAATTATTAGTTATTAATTAATAATTGAAATTTTTATTAATAATTAATAATTGAAATTCTTATTAATAATTAATAGTTGAAATTCTTATTAATAAATAACTATTGAAATTCTTATTAATAATTAACAATTGACATTCTTATTAATAATTAACAATTGACATTCTTATTAATAATTAACAATTAAAATTCTAATAAATAAATAACAATTGAAATTCTTATTATTGTTTAAAAAATTTAAATTCTTATTAACGATTAATAATTGAAATTCTTATTAATAATTAATAGTTGAAATTCTTATTAATAATTATTAATTATAAACATTCTTATTTAAATTATTTATTAATAAAAAGAGTTTCAATTATTAAAAATTTATAAAAGATTTAATTATTAATTATTAATTAACAATTGGAATTCTTATTAATAATTAATAACTTAAATTCTTATTATTAATTGAAACTCTTATTAATAATTGAAATTCTTATTAATAATTATTAATTGTTAATAAGAATTTTAGTTTGTTAATTATTAACAAGAGTTTCAATTATTAATTATTTATAAGAACTTCAATTATTTATTATTAATTAAGAATTGAAATTCTTATTAATAATTAACAGTTGAAATTTTCATTTATAATTAGTTTTACTCCCAGTTTTACTCTTTCGTAAATAAAAAATCCAAATGCTATATTTATGTTGCGCCATTACTTCAAACTGATGGTTCCAAAATATTGTACCAGTCTTAGATTTACCAAAACACGAAAATTCTATAAACAATATTATATTTTCGTACAATTCTGTTGTTTATCATCTACAAAAGCTTCCACCCAAAGCTTCCAAATCCCCTGATGGATATCCTGCCATATTTTTAAAGTCAATTGCAAATGTTATTGCTATTCCTTTTTCTATTCTATTTGAAATGTCAATGTCCAAAAATGTTTTCCCGAGGATCTGGAAAACCGCAATAATATGTCCAATATTTAAAAAAGGAAGCCCGTCGTTATCCACAAATTATAGTTTGTCTATAAATAGGTCTATAATTATAGACCTAATTCTATGATATGTATTAATATAAATATAATTACTTAATATAAAAAAATAACACTATTACTGAAGGATTATTAGTGCTCCACCGCACAAGATGGATCATTTTTCAATGGATCTAACTTTTAGAAAATGATCCATCAAATTTTTCAATGGATCTAACTTTTAGAAAATGATCCATCAAGTCTTTCAATGGATCTAACTTTTAGAAAATAATCCATCAAATCTTTCAATAAATCTAACTTTTAGAAAATGATCCATCAAATCTTGTGCGGTAGAGCACTAATAATCCTTCAGTGACTTAAACAAGGTGCGTCGCATGGATGAAGCCAGTTTTTTGAGTGTAAAAGCATTTCATCTAAAAATATCTGGTTCTGGATAGTAATATAAATTAAATGTTGTTGTTAGAATTGTGCTAATCCAGAATCATTAACTAAGGATGTGGATCAATATTTTTTAAATATTTCTTTGTAAAATATAGCTTTGCTAGATTCTGTTTAGCCTAACTACTATCGGACAAGCTCAAATTTGATCACGGTGTTGCAGACTCTGTGTTAAAACCCAATAAAAACCTAGGTGTCTTTCATTTTACTAGAAACTGAGGTGAAATTAACTTGCCCTATGCATTCACACATGCAATAACAGTGATTACCTTTTCATAAGTTGTTGTACGAATATGGTTTTTTTTGCTTTTTTGTGCAACCACCTTTATTGATTTTACGTCAAGCTGTAGACCAGTTTTATCAATATTCCATACAGATTCTAATTTAACATGCAAACCATTCTTTGCCATCACGTCATTCAAGGCACTAAAATACTTTGAAACTTTTCCTTTACTCGTGTACTGATGTCGAACTAAAGCATTACCCTCAGGTTTCGCAGAGTAAACTTATGCTTATAACGGAGCCTAATCAAAAACAGCACTAGTTGATTGATAGTCCCTTTTTGAAAATATTTTGTAGCGTAAAAATATTTTGCAGCGTAATTCAGGAGTATTGACATATTAAAACCTACCCCTAACTTACATGTTGACATAATCAATAAGTTTTTCTTCTAGAGCAAATATTAAGGTAGGTTATTCTTTCTTGTTTTGCTCCGAGAACAATCTTCCAAGGAAATCTGTGCCTCAATGTTGTATGTGGCACATTGTACACTATTGCTACCTTACGCACAGATAATTATGGCTCTGATCTTTAAATATAGACTTAATGATCATTGGAATAATTAGAATCATTAACGAAAGTTAAAGAAACATCAAGTGTTGGTAGCTGTTTCATTAGAATAATGTTAAGAATGCAACTATAAAAAGTTAAAGAAGTTATATGATCATGAAGATAAGTTGTCATTTTTGCAACATCTGATACAGTGCATTCTTTCTAACAGACATCCTGTAAAACCTTGGTAATGATTTTCCTCCAACACCTCTTATTTTAATAATGATTTTTTTTTCCTTCTAACACATGACCTAGATAAATTAAATTGTAGTACAAAATATCATATTAGTTTGATAAAGTATCTGAACTTTAATGAAGCTCAAATATTACTACATTTAAAAATAATAACTATTAAATTGCGCGGCGCATAATCTTATAAGAAGTACATAAGTAATTACAAAAG